CCACGCCACACTCTGTCTACTGAGAGGACCCAGGAGCCCTCCTTGTCCTAACTCTCAGATCACGGGTGGAGCACGGACCCCTGGACCCAGGCCCAACCCAAGCCCCTGACTCAGGCTGGGGTTTGAGCTCCTCCTGTGGCCACCCCGACCTCTGGTTAGAATGGCTGCCACGTGGCAGGCACTGTGTGTTTCCCACTTAACATCTTCATGACAGCCCCATGAGCCCGGCGCTACCGCATCCCCACTCTCAGTGGGCTCAGAGAGAGGAAGACAGTTGCCCCAGGTCACAGGTGTGGGCAGGAATCAAACCCATGTTTGCCTGGCTCTAAGACACACCCTTACTCACGGGTACTACCACCCTAGCCCCAAAGGGACCAAAGGTGACTTGCAAAGCCGAGCCAGCGGCCACAGGAAAGTACATGAGAGCATATAGATGGTGGAGGAGGGCAGCCCTGCAGGTGTAGTTACATCCTCCTTTCTCAAGTGCTGAATAATGAGGTGTTTTTGCCTTTTTGGACAGGATACCCAACTGCCAGGGCTGTGCCAGGAATTCCTGAGCTTCTCCTGTCTCCTCTGGCTCTCCCTCACCAACTCTGGTCCTGGGCCACTCCCTCTGGCCCCCAACTTCCTCCCCTGGGCCCATCTGACTCCACTGCGCTCATTTCCCAGGTGGGAGCGTCAAGGCGAGGAGCGGGGCCTGAGCTGATGGCTGAGAGCTGCTGCTGGTCGAGTTTTCAGAGAACTGAGATCTTAGGTGGGGACAGGGAAGAGGACGGGGAGGGAGGAGGGGGGCCGGCCTGGGCAGTGGGGGTCGCCCAGAACACTCAGTTTCTGGGTCACTAGCCTTGGGGAATTCCCCGATGCCCAGAGAGCTGCTTACCTGGTGAGTAACTGCTCCTGGCTGCCCACACAGGATGCCTGGCTGTGAGGGTACCTCCCTGCCACCCCCTGCCAATGGCCACTGCCATGTTACCCTCTCCCCTGAGTGCCCCAGGGCCCAGGAAAGAGACAGACAGGCAGGCAGGGGGCTGTCCCCCACCTCCACAACTCCCCCTGGGGCTCCGCAGGGGGCGGCTGGTGATTCAAGCCCCTCTGAGCTGAACTATGTCTCCTTCCTTCTCAGATGGGCCCTGGGGGTGAATCAGCTCCTGGGGGCGGTGAGGCTGGGTCAGCCACTGTCTTCAGCTCAAGCCTGGGGTGCGGTTGGTCACAGGCCAGGATGGGACATAGGGAGAGAGAGCCCACCGCCATGCCAGCCCCCGCAGCAACCCATCTGATCTTCCTGGGGCACCCCGGAAGCTGGAGGCTCGAGGGTATTTTGTTTCCATTATCCATCAGGAGAGAATGAACAGACCCCTCTCCTGCCCAGCTTTCCCCCTTTAGCCCTGGATTATGCCCAACTTTCCTCATCTGTAAAATGGGGACAAGAACCCCTACTCCTCCACGGTGAGGAGGATCAATGCTGACGAGCAGAGGGTTGGCTGGGCTCCCAGAACTGCGCTGAGCCTGAGCCCTCACAGCAAACCCACAGCACAGGTGTCATTATTCCCATTTTATAGATGAGAAAACTGAGGCCAGGACGTGGTCACTTCCTCAAAGTCACCCAGCTCATAACTGGCAGACCCAAACCTCTAACCCGGCTCTGACTGAGGCTGAAGTCCATGCTTCCAGCCAGCAGACTTTACTCCTCTCGCCATGAGAGACTTGGCACAGACAGCTTTTGGAAACTAAAATGCTTTTAGAAAATACTTAGCATCTGCTCTGATGTAACCCTGAGCCAGGTGCTGTCAAGAGTACAAATGAGGATCAGACCCCAACCAAGCCCTCAAAGACGGAGGAATGAGACTTGTTCTCACTTGAAAGGAGAGTGGGCAGGACTGGGCAGACTAAGCTAACCTGGGCTGTGGGAGGAAGGGGAGGCTTCCTGGAAGAAGCGGCCTGAATGCAGCTCACCACCCCTTGCTCCCATTGCAGCATGAGGTGCTGCTGGCATTAGCTGTGGCCTTCAAGCCAGAGGCCGGCACTCCAGGCCTCATTCTCTTGTTAACTCTCTGTGCTGCCCTGGGCAAGTGTCTTCACCTCTCTGAGCCTCGGCTTCCCCACCTGACATTCTAAGAGAGACTTGTGGATGGCGAGTGCGAATCAGAAGGAAAGGAGGGGCTGAATGGCCACATGCGCCAAAGTGAGTGAGAGAGAAAGAGCCCTCAGGGGCCCTGGGGAGGCCCCAGGCCGGCCCTGGACTCGCTTCCTGGAGATGAGCAGGTGGATGGCACAGCCGCCTGGAGGAGCACCCCCAGCCCCGGCCTGGCCGCCCCCCGCCCAGACTGAGGGTGCCCTATGTGGGCCCCAGCTGTCCCCCTCACCCCGAGGCCGGTCAAATCCCCAGCAGGCCCAGTGTGCAGAAGCAGGACAGGCTGGGGATGAAGTCACAGCTGGAAGGGGCCGGGCTGGGGCTGCCACTCCAGGGTGGGGCCTGGGGTCACGACCCTGGGAGCAGGCAGCCAAGAAGGGAGGATGCCTTCCGTGAGGAAGCTGGGGAAAACACACACACACACATAGCAGCGTAGAGAGGGAAGGAAGAAAACAAACTCCAGGAGACCAAAGCTGGCCTGGAGCGCCGCCTGGGCAGCCGATTCCCGGGGACCGAGGCCACGTTGCAGGCGGCTCACGGGTCCGCGGCTCCGAGACCCTGCCCGGACTGCCCCCGAGAGGCCCGGTGCAGGTGGTGGCTGGACATGGACAGGAGAGGGAGGCTGGGCCTGGGGTGCCGAGGGGCCCAGAACACTTGGGGAGCACAGACCAAGTCAGGTACCGTGAGAGGGGAAACTGAGGCAGGGGCGGGGGCCAGTCAGGGCGAGGGTGAAGTGTCTTCTAGACTCCGCCCCACTTCCTGTTTCCTGTTGGGTGGGGCTGTGATTACATGGCGTTTGGGGGCGTTTTATAGGGCTGAGGAGGGGTCTGGACAGCCAGAAGACAGTGCAAGGCCCGGCGAGTCCACTGGGAGTGATGCAGGGGAGGAACCGTGGCAGGAGGGCAGTGGGACGAGGAGGCAGCCTGAAGGAGAATCAGGGCACCCAGTGAGACACTTGGGCGGGGGAACAGGGGATCCATAGATGGGGCCTCTGTGGGGCCCTGGTCAAATGGATTTGGGGTCCACATCAGAAGAGTCAGGATGAGTCAGATGACAGGGGTCCGGGAGATGTGGGAGTGGGGTCTGGAGGCTGATCCAGAGTTCATGCTCCCCGAGTGCTCAGGCCCTCCTTCAGGAGAGATTGGGCCTGGGGGATTATGAGAGGGAGGTGAGCTGGGATGTCCTGAGGTGTGGGGCTGCCTGAGACAGGCTGGGGTGGCTGGACCTCCTAGGGGCATACACAGACCCCAGAGCAGGTGCATGAGAGGGGCGAGTGCCAGGTGGGGCCTTCCATGGCCCCCAAGGAAGACACAAAGTGTGGAGTGGCCGGGAGGAGGAAGGAAAGCCAGTGTGGGCTCTACCAGCCTCCTCCCTGCTGGGAAGCGCCCACTGGGATGGGCAGTTTTATCGCCCCACAGCCGAGGCCAAGCTGGGAGAGCCGGGAGGAAGCAGCCTGGAGAGGGCAGGGCATGCGTGGCGGGGGAGGGGGCACGGCGGCAGCAGGAGGGCTCGTCCTGGCACGGAGGAATGAACGAATGCTGGGCAGGTCCTTCGGGATGTGGCAAGAGGCGGGAGCTGGGGGCATGGAGGAGGGCTGAGGGGGTGGGCAGAGGGAATCAGGGGCCAGGGAAAGGCTGCAGGGCTCCCTGGCCTTGGAGAAGCAACTCTCCTGCCTCGTTCTCTGGTCGGGGTCAGGTGGGAGGGCTGCAGCGGGGGGGCCCTTGGCAACTTGTGGGACCACATAGCCCCAGATGTGTCTGACCAGCACTCCCCCACCTCTTTTGTTTTGTTTTGAATGCTTTTTGCCAGGGAGGAGTTGCTGTGCTCATTTTGCCCTAGTCCTCACCATTCCTTCCTGCCCCTCCTTACTCATTTATGAATCTACCTGGCCACGACAGACACCAGATTTTGTGACCCTGCCTAAGAGACTCCAGAGGCACCTTTCGGGGGCCATAATCATTCTCTGATGCTGAGCCCCAAGGGCCCTCCAAGACATTTTCTGTCCTCCTCAGCCATCCCTCTGCGTCCTGAGGAGCAAACCTGGCTCTGACTGGCTCAGCCTCCTTAAGTCTCTGCTCCAAATGTCCTTTCAAAATGGAAATGCTGGACCACTCTCCCCTGAAGGGTGCAAAGAGTTTTAGGTAAACGCCAGAAACATCAGACCTTCGCAGGATCCCCTCCGTAGGCTCTCCCCAAAGGAGTCACAGCAACCCTTCACCTCCCATCTTCCCAGCCCCCTCCTCAGCCCCACAGGTACCTGTGGTCATCAATGCAGGCTTGTTGATGGCAGTCAGGAGGACTGACCTTGTGGGACCCTGGACAACCTGTGCCCTCGGGAGCCCCACTTTGCATGGTGGCAGCAGGCAGGTTGGAGGAGGCCACCTCTGCGGTGGCTTCCAGCGCCCACATTCAGTTTCGCTTTTTTACCGTCTAAAGTCCACACCAGGGCCCCAGCCCCTCTTCCTGGAGCCTCCTTCTCAGCCAAGCCCCAGCCTGCCTCCTCCCCACTGACCCCCAGACCCCCTGACCAGGGGGCCACAGGTGGCAGCCTCCGTCTGCTTGCCTAGTTTCAAGCCACCTCCCCAAACCCAGGTGAGTCAGGGCTGTCTGGGGTACCCACAGCCCAGGGACCCTGATCACTCGGGGACCCTCCTCCCCTTCCCCATCTTCAAACAACTCCCAGGGCAAGCCACGCAGGAAAACCGCAGGGTGTTTTGTTGAAGAGTTCATTATAATTTTATCAATCAAATTCTTAGAAGAGGGAAAAAGTCTGCTCTCGCCACCCTCCCCCCTCACTGCCCCCCCCTTCACTCTCACTTTCTTCCATTCATAATTTCCTATGATGCACCTCAAACAACTTCCTGGACGGGGATCCCTGCTAAATATAGCTGTTTCTCTCTCTGTCTTACAACACAGGCTCCAGTATATAAATCGGGCAAATTCCCCATTTGAGCATGAACCTCTGAAAACTGCAGGCATCTAAGGTCTCCTCCAAGGCCCTCTGGAGTCCAGCCCATAATGAAGGTCTTGGCGGCAGGTAAATCCACCCGCCCCGCGCCGGCTTCCGCGCCCCGCCACGGGCGCAGCGGCAACTTGGGGCACTTGGCGATCGTGAGCGGGACACCCACTCGCCGCAGACACACGGACACTTGGGGCGCCCGCGCAGCCCGCCGGGCCGCCGGAGGCGCTGGGTGGCGGCCGGGAGCGAGAGCAGGCACATGGTCCCGGCACCGCGCGCCCAGCCCGCCCTGGGGCCCGCAGGTTGGCGGGCAAGGGAGGGTGCGCCGCAGCCTTCCTCCTCCTCCTCCTCCTCCTCCTCCTCCTCCTCGCTCCGCCGGCTCTCCTGCTGCTCTTCCAGCTCAGCTTTCTCCGGGACTCACCCTCCTTCTTTTTTCTTTCTTTCTTTCTTTCTTTCTGTCTTAACGCTTTCTCTTTTCCAACCGCGTCCCGGGCTGCTCCCTGGGAGGGGCGCCGGCCTCTGAGCAGCTTGCAAACTCCGGCCCGGGACGGGAGCAGGTGCCGCCTCCATCTGCTAGTGTCTGGAAAGCTGTGGTCTGTGCTAGGTGAGCCTGGGATGTGGGGGCCCCCCAGCCATCGGGGGCCTCAGCACTGCCGGGGGATGCTGGGAGGCACAGGGGACCCAGAAGTGAACTTGAGGCTGCCACTGTCCCAGGAGGGGAACCGGCTCCTGCGCGCCACCCTTTCCCTCAACCTCATCGGTTCTCCAGCCTCACAGGTCCACCGACCCCAGCCCTTGATGCTTGGGTCACCTGGAAAGCAAGGGGGGGTGGGGGGAGGCGGAAAGCAGGCGCCCTGGGCGGGGAGGGGCGATCCTGGACAGGCCCGGACAGCTCTCAGCTCTCCTGTCACCTTTCACTTTCCTTCCTCCCCCGCCCACCTGGCTGCGTGCGACATTTTCCCTTTTTTCTTTCCTGGTTGCACCATTCCTTTGCCCTCCCGAAGGCTCTGGGGGACTGAGGGACCCCAGGATTCTCCTTGTCCTAACCCACAACCTGGAGCAAGGACCAGTAGACAGGAGTGGGAGGGCGTGGAGGCCAGGAGCAGTACAGAGTGGGATAGGAAGTTTTGAAGAATGACTTGGGAATGGAGGGGGGAGCAGAACTGCAGAACTGGGGTGGAGTTGAGGGTCCTAGAAGGGTAGTGGCCACATTTGGAGAAGGATAACCACAGAATCAGGGGACAAAGGGCCCAGTGAGCCAAAATCATGTGACAGCTTTGGGAGATGAGGGTCAGCAGAAACCCCCCCTCTCCCCGTGGTCCCCTAAGAAGCCCACTCTGGGAGATTGAAGCGTGAAGTAACACTTAGGAATCTGGACCATCCTGGGAGGTGGGGAGGTAGGGGCTGCTCTTTTCCTTGAGACCTGCTGGGGCTGGGGCGTGGTACCCTCCAGCCAGAGGCCAGGATGGTGTCACCCTGGACCCAGCTCCCACCTGGTAGAAACAGCTCACATCCTGCCCCCTTGCTCCTGTCAGGAGACAGCAGGGAGTGATAGATGGGAGTGAAGCGGAGACAGAGGGTTAGAGCTCTGGAGAGAGGGGGACAGAGAAGCAGATTTGGTGACATCGTGAAAGTAAGGAACAGCCATGCTGGGCGAAGAGAGAGCTGGAGGCTGAGAGGGGACACTGGTGTCCCTGAGGGAGACGAGGCGCATCCTCCACCATGAGACCCCTTGCCCACCCCCCCACCTCCCTGCTCATGGCTCCCTCCTGCCTGTTCCCAGGAGTTGTGCCCCTGCTGCTGGTTCTGCACTGGAAACACGGAGCAGGGAGCCCCCTTCCCATCACCCCTGTCAACGCCACCTGTGCCACACGCCACCCATGTCACAGCAACCTCATGAACCAGATCAAGAACCAGCTGGCGCAGCTCAACAGCAGTGCCAAAGCCCTCTTTATTCTCTACGTAAGTCTCCCCCCAGGGTACCAAGGAAGAAGGGAGGGAGGGGCTGGGCTTTGCTGCAGGGACCTGGGCTGGCGGGGCTGCAGGGAAGGGAAGGGAGGGGGACTGGTCCCACCACACCCAGACGCCCTCAGTTTCCTCCCCACCCCCTGGCCCAGTCTCCGCCACTTGCCTAGGATGCCCAGTTAGATAGGGGCAGAGCTGCCTGGAGAAGGGGGTGCCTGGCACTTTTAGCCTTGAGATTCTTCCACCTTGTGGAGGGAGAGGCCGATAAGAGACAGAGAAGGAGGCGGTGAGGTGGACGGCAGGGTGCTGTTGGGAGAGACGGCGGGTTGTGGTTGACAGGGGTGCAGAGCCGCCCAGGAAGAGGGTGAGTGCAGTGGGTGAAAGGGCAAGTGTGTGTGGTGCACACGTTGGAGGTGAGACTCAGTGTTTTCCTTTCTGTCCCCATGTGGTCCTGATGATTGTGATGAGGAGGATAATTCCTTGCATGGTACAGGCCTGGATGCTTTACCAAGGGAATCCACACCCACAATTACTTCAGGCTCTCAGGACAGTCCCGAGATGCCTACAGGGCAAGTGATTGGGTCCTCATGCCACTGTGTTTGGGGTGTGGGGACTGAAGCCCAGGAGCTGACCCAGAGGCCTGGTGGCAGGGCTGGAACACCCATCCCTGGCTCCCATGTCACCTCCCCTCCGCCCCTCTGCTCCTCAGTACACAGCCCAGGGGGAGCCGTTCCCCAACAACCTGGACAAGCTGTGCAGCCCCAATGTGACCGACTTCCCGCCCTTCCACGCCAATGGCACGGAGAGGGCCCGGCTGGTGGAGCTGTACCGCATCATCGCGTACCTGGGCGCCTCCCTGGGCAACATCACGCGGGACCAGACGGTCCTCAATCCCAGCGCCCACAGCCTGCACAGCAAGCTGAACGCCACGGCGGATGTCATGCGGGGCCTCCTCAGCAACGTGCTCTGCCGCCTGTGCAGCAAGTACCACGTGGCACGTGTGGACGTGGCCTACGGCCCAGACACCTCAGGCAAGGACGTCTTCCAGAGGAAGAAGCTCGGCTGTCAGCTCCTGGGGAAGTATCAGCAGGTCATGGCCGCGGTGGCCCAGGCCTTCTAGACAGGAGGTCTCACAGTGCACAGTGACCTGAGATCTTAGACTTAGGTGGCTCTCAAACTGTGGCCGGGGCCCAGAGCAGTGCCAAAGCCAAGTGGGGGCTGCTCGCAGACCCCGAGGGCTTCCTGGCCAGTCTATTCCCCTCCAGGGTGGGCTGTGATGAAGCCAAGCAGAGCCAAAGCTCCCAGAGGGAGAACCTACATATGGCACCGACTAGAGGAAGGCGCCCCTTCTTCTGGGATACTGCAGCCAGGCACCCGGTGTCAGGCTGGATTTCGGCCCCTTCTCGTCCCCTCAGCCAGGGTCTTTGTGAGCAAACCACACAAGTTGCCTCCAGCGACCCTGACCACGGGGCAAGGCAGCAGGGGTCAGGGGCATTGCCTGGCCCCCAACAGAATGACGACTATCAGTGCCTTCGCTGCCCCTTCGGTAGACCTCGAAAGGTCTGGTTGGACCTCAGGCAGCCCAGAGGGGCTGGGATCCTGAAGGATCCTTGGCGCCTACAAGTATGGTGAGTGGAAGGCTAGAAAGGGAACTCTGGTTTGAGATGCTGCCTTGTCTTGGGCGTGATTGGAGAGCTCAGGCCTAGGACTGTCAGGTGGAAGGTTCCAGAAGGATGTCGCTGGCCTTCAGCCTCCTGGGGAGGCAGAGAGGCCACCTTCAGGCCTGGGAAGGAAGACAGGCCCTTGAAAGTCTTGACGGGCCCTTCTTCCTTGAGCCCGCAGTCTGTCCTGCTGTCCCGGTGGCTGGGGTCTGGTGGCTGGACCTGGAGGTGGGGTGTGGGGAGGTGGGCGGGTTGTAAAGTCAGGTGAGGGGGTTCTGAGGGGACCCAGAGTCTTGTGGGCAAGGGTCTGTAAGGGAGGGGTGGATGCAGTAGTTCAGAGTGGCAGCTCACATCTGAGGCCCACAGAGGCCCCGTGAGGTCACACAAAGGTACTTGAGGGGCGCCAGAGGCCATCGCTGGACCCCGGAGCAAGGGGACAGCAGAAGTTGAGGTCAGGGTCTCAGGAAGCCTGAGATCCAAGGGTGCTGTGTGTCTGACCCAGCATGATTGTCTATTTATTTTGATGCCCTATTTATATTAACTTATTGGTGCTTTAAATAGCAAAGTTAATGCCCCTTTCCCTGCTCCCTCTCCAACAGAAATAATATGATGGCTCCTTCTGCAGGAGCCGGGGCCAGGCCTTAGCAGGGCCTGGTCTGGAAGTCGAAGATGTTACAAGTGGGATAAGCCTTATGGGTGAGGCTCATAGAAGGGTCAGGAGCTGAGAGAACTGGTCAGTCTGGGAGGGGACGGGGGACCCGGCTCCAACCCCCACCCTAACGGTAACTGGCTCTGGGGCTATCGGGACCCTGGCTGCAAGGCAGGCTGGGCCAGTTTGTGGAGTGGCCAAGGGGCCTTTTCCCAGGGCCACCATGTTGCTTGGCTCCAAGGGGCCCATTCAACACTGTGTTGTCCAGCGCCCCCTGGAACTGTGCTGTTGGAGGCAACATTCACCATGGAGATGGCACCCCTGGAGCAGTGGGCAAGGCAGCCCTGGTGGCCCACCTGCTGCTGTTTCCTTGTCCTCACGCTGCCTCTAGACTAGCAGTCTGGGGGCCCTGGAACAGTCCTGACCAGCACCCAGCGGGGAAGTGCCTTCTCGGGTGGCCTGAACACCCACAGAGGGCGAGAGGACCTGGCTGGACCTCAGGAAGCTGGACGGCCCAGGGAGGAGGCCCCTGCTCTGGAGAGGAGGACGAGGAGGCCCTGGGATGCAGACCAGGAAGCTGTGGTCCCTCCTGCCCCACCTCCCCCCACACCCCCACCCATGTCTGGGCTCCCAGGCAGGGAACCTGATCCTTTCCTTTGTGCTGGGGCCAGGCTAGTGGAGAAACGCCCTCCAGTCTGGGAGCAGGGGAGGAGGGCCCAGAGCTGGGGCAGCTGCTAAGAGCAGGGTTCTGGCGCCTTCTCAAACCCTGAGCGGGCAGCGAGCCTAGCTGTTCAGCCAGCACGATTTTGGTGCTTTGCACTCACTTTGCACCCCTCTGCCTCCTCCGAGCACTTTACCCGTGTCCATCGGAGGGCAGGTGGGCAAGGCAGCAGGCAGGCCCTGAGGCCTGGGGTCAGGGGCTGGAGGTGGGAGTTGTCCGTCCCGTTGGCAAGACTGTGGCGGAGGACACCACGATGGTTACATGTTTTCCAACACTGTCTCAACTGAGGGTTAAGACACTGAGGGTCACGCTCAGCCTTGTCCAGGATCTCAGCCTGCTGTCCCCCGTCGCTCTGCTCCTTCAGTGAACGTGGCTTGGAAGGCTTGGAGCCGGCTGGTCCCCCTTCATCTCATCACCCCGTGGACGCAGACTTCCCGTGCCAGGCCCACCTGGGCAGCCTCTGAGGCTCGGGAACCAAGCGATTCTCCTGCCCCAGGCGTAGCCCCGGCTCTGCCCCTCACCCTCATCCTCAGTGCTCTTTGTAGAACCTGTCTGGCAGATGGGCACCCACTTTGCCCAGCATCTCTGAATTTTGGAGCCTTTGTGTGGAAAAAAGCTTTGCAGGGCAGGAAGCTGTCCACTTCCTCCTTTATCTGGTTTTGACCCACACCTGCATCCTGGGTCACGGCCCCAGCCCGAGGAGGAGGGAGAGGCCGGCAGGAGAGGAGGGGTTAGGACAGTCCTTTTGCAGTTTATCGAAAGAGGGGTATTGGGGACCTTATTTATTTAAAAAATTTTTAAACTAGAAAAAGCACCACTATTTATTTGTCTCTCCTCCTCCTCGCCCTTCTCCCCCTCTCCTTGTCCCCTCCTTGGGGATGTTTCCCCAATAGAAGCAGTCCAGCTCTGCCTCGCTGGCTCTCCAGTATAGACATAGCATGTGGGGCTGGAGGCCAGAGCCAAGTGAGAGGTTAATTTCCCTTCAGATGGTACAAATGTTCTTACTTCCGGATTGCCACCCCCCCACCCCCCC